CTTTAGGACAGTTGGTTGGAACATGGCTGTGTGCATGGGCTCAGCTGTATCATCAGGACACTTTGTTTTTCTCTGCTTTACTTCCATCTGTTGTTTCATCCTTAGATCATTCTCATGTAATCATAATGTGAATGCTATCTACTTTATGCTTACATTGTAACATGGTCACCACCGTAGAGGGGTTCTCCCAACAGCCTAAGCAAAAGTCTTAGAATATATTCTGATTGGCCTTGTGCAGGTCACATGCTAACTGCAGAACCAATCACTTTGTCCAGGGTTCTTTTATTATCAGGCATGGATCTTCTGCATATCCTTGCAGCTGGCAATTGAGGTGAGCCTTATTTGAAGTGTTTGGACCAAACTAAATCAGAGGCTGGGACATGAATGAGCTGGAATTGAGACTCAAGTTTGAACGCTGAGACCCTATAATATCCATCTTTCTTGACAAAAATAACTTTTGGTAATGGTGTCTTAACAGTATTTCATCTCTCTATTTACAGCCAATTGGCCTCAAAACTATCCAGCAAAGCCCATCCAAGAAGTGAGAAATTCCATGTTGGATGAATGGTCTCTTTTGCCCAGCTTGTGATTTGCCCCTGATTATAATAATGAACATAAAAGAACATTTCCTTGCATACAGGAAAACATACTGATCTCATCACCTTTCTCAGTTTTCCAGACTATGTTGTTAGTAATTTCCGCTCACTTTACATGGATGTGGAAGTCAGTAAGCATACAGAAGACCTGAATAACACATGCACCATCTGATCTAGTTGACGTTTATTAAACAATCCACACAACACCATAAAACCAATTAAACCCACTGCCATCAAATTGATTCTGACACACAGCGCCCCTACAGGACAGAGGAGAACTGTGTGATAAAGTTTCCAAGGTTGTCAAACTTTACAGAAGGTGACTGCCTCATCTTTCTCCTGAGCATACCTATCAACATTTGATTAGCAGCTGAATACTTCAACTTCTATTCTACCAGAACCCCTAATAACTGCTTAAGACAAATAGTTTGTAAGTACTCATTAAGTAATAAGCAAAATGGATCATATGCTGGGTTTTAATACAAACTTTAACAATAAAATAAAATCAGTAAATATAGAAATTGTGGTATATTCAAGCATTGGAATAAGATAGTAACAGTAATCATCGAGTAAAATAAATTACTGCAGTATGTAACAGCATAGGGAAAATCTCACATAAGATGACGTCAAACACAATATGCTCATACCATGATACGAGTACAAAGACATTCAAATCTTGTTTCACTATAATAATCAGAACACTGTTTACTCGTGGGGTGAATGTCACCTGGGAAAAGAGCAGGAGGGAGTCATGGATGCTGAAAAAGTTTCCACACTTAAACTCTGAGGGGTTATAAGATAACTCTGAGGGGTTATAAGATGGCATATCTAGATGTAAAAATTAATCACGTGGTACACTTAAATTTAGAATACGTTATGTAGTTTATTACATGTGTGTGTATCTGAGAAAAAAGTAAAACGTTTTCATAACAGTAATTTTCATAGGTACTTCTGCATTTTATGTACTGGCCCTCCGAATAACTGGAGTCTTCCTGTTTCTCACCTTGGAAACTCCAGTCTGCAGGTTCCTCCGCCCTTGGAGAGATCACACCGGGTTTGCACCGTCTGTGTCCTGCTCCCAGGGAAAGATTCCTGATATACAAGAAACGAGAAACCAGGAAACAGAAGTTAAGCTAGAGACCTCAGCAATTCTAAAGCGTGCAGTCATGAAGAGTAAAGAAATTATTTTTTTAAAGAATATGGTAAAATAAAACGACCAAATATGCAACTACCAATACTGCTTCCCAAAGGTGTTTTGATTAAGGTCATCGCAATTCAGTTCATAAACTGAATGAATAAACCTTAAGAGTTTTCTCTACAGGAGAATTAAAGACGTTTGCGGGTAGATCCCACACACAAAGGTAGGCACTGAACTATACGGTCATGAGTTAGCGATCTCTTTGTTTCCGTCCGGAACCATTCGTCTGACCCTCCCATCATCCAGGAACCGGAAGCGGTAGAGTGAGGCTTTTGTTGGGGCCCCAGCTCGTTTTGGTACTGGTCCTGCCCTGTGTCAGGTAGATTTTCTCAGTCCTCAGTCGTCCTGGTCCCCTGACAGGTTCCGCGGTGCTGCCCCCACTCTACCGCGCAATTTCCGTCTCTTTGCTCCCTGGAGCCTCGTGACCTCTTATCGCCCAGACGCCGCCGCTGATTTCTGGACGCCGAGCAGCGGGTGCGAGCCTGCGTCACTCCGCGCGGGAACAGGTAACATCGCGATACTCCTCGCTGAGCAAACGTGTGGTTCTCAAATCCCCAGCGTCCTCGTCACCCGGAGTTGGTGAGAAATGCGAAGTGGGGGGGCGCGTGGACGCCTGAGGTTTTAGTCTGAGTCCAAACACTACCCTCCGGTCTGCGCTCGGCGTCTCCGGCTCCCGGTGTTTTCTTTCCTTTTTATAGTCCAGCCTCAGCCGGGCTCTTCGGCCTCATCTGCCGCCTCTCCCTCGGGCAGTGGTAACTTTAGTATTTTGAAGAAGCGTTACGCGTTTCCACAGAGGCTACACCATTTTCCGCTCCCACCGGCCGTTGCTCCAGAGTCTCCCCAGCGCCTGTGGGGCGGGGGGGTTTCCAGTGGGTTTTATGCATTTTCCTCCCAATGGTGCCCAGCATCTTTCTACGTGTTGAAGGAGTATTTGTGTAGCATCTTCGCTGAAATACCTGTTTACGTGTTTTGCTCTTTTGTCGTTGTTGTTGGAGTTGGACTCTCCTAAGGTTCACTGTATTTTCTCCCAGCCTGTAGGTTGCTCCTTCACTTAGTTAACCGGTCTTTGATGCACAAAATGTGGTAGTTAAGTTTGTGCGTCAACTTGAGTGGTTGGGCAGCTGGATGTAGTATTCCCCGTGAGGAAACTGGTCATCACCTCCATGGTGAAATCTGCCGTGAGCAGCTGAGTAGCTGCTGTAGGGATGTGGTCTGCTTCTTGTATATAAGAAGCCTTGAGAAATGGTCTCTAGCTGATGGCCTGCTTGAACCCTGCATGTAGCCATGTTGTTCAGCAGCCTGCCATGCTCTGCTGACCTTGGGACTCTAAATGGACTTGAATAAATGGCCTGCCATGTGGTTCAGTAACATTGGGACCGTCTTTTTACTTGTCGACCTTGGTTTGTTAGCCTCAGCAGCCAGTAGCTGTCAGTAAAGAAAAGCCTCCAGCTTCATTGGGCCGGGACCAAGAGGCAGAGCTGAAGCCCAAGGTCAAGGGATGTTCATCCAGCCCCTAGAGACTGGCACTCTGAACTCGGACCTCCCAAATTGTAAGAGAATAAGTTCCTGTTTATTCAAGCCCACCCATTTGTGGTAAATTTCTGTCAGAATGGCACTAGGTAACCAGAACACAAGATTTTTTTTAACTTCTCTGTTTGTCTTTTCCTTCTCCTGCTTGTGGTATCATAGCTAAGAATCCATATACATCATTTGTAATTTCAATGTTGGTGGAAAATGCAGTGCCTTTTATTTTCTCTTTCCTTCTGTAGAGATAAATACTCTGGAAGTACTCTGATTTTGGACTGGGATTACCCTTGGAGACATAACTCGTCAGGCAGTCACTTCAAGTGAAATTACAACTTCCATTCAAAACTACCAAATTTTACTAGTTTAGATCCCATCCATTGCCCCTCAGATAAGACTATATTTACTTACAAAGGCTAAGGGCCTAATTCAGGTTTAGAAGTGTGCTCTTCCATTTCCTTAGCTGGAAGATTCAGAAGTAGGAATGAAGCCTCTTTCAGGGATCATGGTTTGATTCTTGGTGACCAGGAGGAGACAACGTGCAGTTTGAGATGTGGGCTCCTGGCATCAATGGACTCAGACACCAAACCCTTCCTGTCGTCCACCTGGGGCATGAGGACTGTGTGGCTCTGAAACCGAACATGTCCGAGATAGAGCTTTTAAAGTCTCACCTAAACAAACCTGCTTCTCACCTGGCTTCCCATCTAGTACGTGGCGTCAGCATCCATTCACTAGATCCGGGAAAATAGTCAAAACTCCTAGGAGAGTTCGCCATTAGGAAAGCAGCCTCTGAACTTCTTTCTCCTTTTTCTTTTGTCACAGGAAGGTTTGATTTCCACCCAGCAGCAGGCGGGAAATTTCAACAGTGTAAACCAGGAAGCTGGAAATGACACATAGAATAAAATTCACATATCTTACTTTGGTCAAAAAGATCATACATGTTCAGGCTTGTGTAAAGCTGTCTTTCTTAAATTGGTAATGTCCTCACATTGCGTAGGTTGTCAACACATTTTCTTTAAAACTTTCAAATATGTCAAGGCTTCTTCATTCTTTTGTAGGGTTTGCACTGGGTATTTTTTTCTGATCATAGGAAAACTTTTTAACCCAAGGAATTCCGTAATTCCTATAATCTAGGGCTCACTTCAAATGTCATCTCCTAAGAGAGTGCCCCTCCTGAGCCCTCAGATATTCCTACTCGTTTCTTTGTTTAAATACCATTACAGTTTGCAGAATGAGGTGATTTCAGTGTTGGTTAACATTAGCCATCATATAACACAAGCAAATTTGTTGCTTCTCAGGCTCTGGGATAAGTGAATTCCTCCCTCTGTGATCTTGTTGCAGGAAGAAAAAGCCTGGGGAGCTTCATGAAGGATGCGGGCGTGGGCTCTGAGGCTGGAACCTGTTTGCCTTCAGTGCAGATGCCCTCAGGGTGGAGCATGGCCCTAGGCCTGGGAGGAAGCCAGACACCTGTCACTCCTGCTGACTCACCACTGTCTCCTCCCCATCCTTCCTCCATTTCAGGTCTCCAGTGTGAAGCAGGGAGAACTGCTCCCGTCCAGGCAGCTGGGGACCCAAGGTGAACATCTTGGACATCCATAAAACCAAGGAATAATTTGAACTGCTGTGATTGGTGTGTGCACCCAACATTATTCATCTGCCTCCAGACTGCCCAATGCTCTGCTTCCATTCCCCTCCTCCTTCCTGAAGTGGCTTCTTGGGTTACAGACGACATTCCCTTAGACCTCTAGAAGGGGGAGCCAAGAAATGGTGAGTTGTGCAGAAAACGGTTCTTCTGAATTATTCTCACCAAAAGTGGGTGAGGATGGATGTGAATTGCTGAGGGATGAGCTGTGTGCTGCAGGACTTTGGTTCCTCAGTGAAGAAAAACGGTGGCAGAGGAGGCCAAAGGACTGAATCCTAGTAGCATCCTAAGTCCCTCCTCTACCTTCACTGGGCCTTTTCTCTGCACATTTGTTACCTTTCAGTATTTGTATTCCTGTGGTCATCTTCCTTACGTGACTCTCAGTTGGGACTATGAGATGTTACCATCCCCACCCTGGGCCTTGGTGCTCTGTATTGAATGACAGTGTATCCTGACTGTAACCTGAAGACAGAGCAGCGCTGGCTGTGGCGGTTGAGTCCTGGCCCTACAAAGCCATCCTTGTTCCATCTCTTAACAGTTTTCTTGGTTTCCCAGAGGCACTGGAGCATTTTCTGTCCAGTTCTGAAAGTGCAGCTCCCCCTCTCAGATTGTGTTAGGAGTTAGTGGGGAGAATTCATAGGTGAAGGCTCTGATCATTTATGGCATCCTCTGTGTGTCTTCCTTAGTGTTATTTTGTTGGTCACTCGCTTTTGGTATATTGCTTTTTCGCTTTCCCCAAGTCAGAACTTGTGTCTACCTATCTAGCAATTTTCCCACTCCTTTCCTCTCATCTCTGGTAATCAACAAGGAAAGTTTCTTTGCATATGTAAACCTTTACTTTTTACAGTAGTGAAAACAAAAAAACCAAATCCATCAAGTTGATTCCGACTCATAGTGACCCCCGTTAGGTTCCTGAGGCAGTAAATCTTTACGAGAGTAAATTGCACAGTCTTGCTTCCATGGAGTGGCTGGTGGGTTTGAACCACCAACCTTTTGGTTAGAAGTCAGATGCCTTAGGCACTGTGCTACCAGAACTCTTTTACAATAGTGAAGTAATACGGTATTTATCCTTCTATGATTGGCTTATTTCTCTCAGCATAATGTCCTCCAAGTTCATGCACATTGTGTGGTGTTTTGCATATTCTTTGTTACTCTTTAGTATTGCACTGTATTCCATTGTGTGTATGTACCATAGTTAGACTATCCATTTTTCTGTCCGTGGGCCCTCAGGTTTGTTTCTATCTGTCTGCTATTGTGAATAGTCCTGTGATGAACATGGGTGTTCATGTATCTGTTCGTGTCCTGGTTCCTTCTTCTTTAGGATATATGCCTAGTAACACAATTGCTGGATCAAATGATGTTTCTAATTCTAACTTTCTAAGAATTGCTAGGAGTTCTGGTAGTGCCTAAGGCACTTGACTGCTAACCAGGAGGCTGGCGGTTCAAACCCACCAGCCACTCCCCGGAAGGAAGTTTGGGCAATCTACTTCCGTAGAGATACTGCCTCAGAAACCCAAGGAAGGGTCGATATGAGTCGGGTCTGACTCGACAGCACATAACAACAACAACAACAAGAACAATGAATTGCTATACCGATTTCCACAGTGGTTGTCTCATTTTACAGTCCCACTACCAGTGTATGTGAGTCCTAATGTCTCTACATTTTCACCAGCATTTGTTATTTTTCTGTGCTGTTGAACTTTATTATTAGTGCTGGGGTGACACGGTATCTCATTGTTTTGATTTGCATCTTTCTAAAGAGCTTTGGTGTTGCAGTGCTTAAGGCATTTGACTGCTAACCTGCTAACCAGAAGATTGGTACTTCAGACTTACTAGCCACTGCACAGAAGGAAGATGGGGCAATCTACTTCCGTAAAGATTTACCACCTCAGAAACCCAATGGGTGTCACTATGAATCGGAATTGACTCGATGGCAGTGGATTTGGTTTTTGGAATGGCTAATGGTCATGAACATTTCTTCATGTATTTGTTGGCTGCCTGTGTATCTTTTTTGGTGAAGTGTCTTTTCGTGTCTTCTGTCCGTTTTTCAATTGGATTGCTTGTCTTTTTGATGTTAAAGTGTTGGAGTTTTCTATAAATTTTAGAGATAAGTCCATTGTCAGCTATGTTTTTGCTGAATATTTTTTCCCAATCTATAGGTTCTCTTCTAACTCTTGTGTAGAAATCTTTTGAAGCACATAGGAATTTAATTTTTAGAAGGTCCAAATCATCTAGTTTATCTTCTGCTGTTTGTGCATTTTGGGTTACACTTGATAATCTATTTATGATACAAACTATGGCCCATAAGTTTGCCTCTATTTTTTATTTGATGAACTTTATCATTTTAGATTTCACATTTGAGTCTTTGATCCATCTAGAGTTTGTTTTTGTGTATTGTGTGAGGTATAGAGCTTGTCTCTTCTTTGTGCAAATGGATAACAGTTTGGCCAG